GACTTACTGTTGAGCATTCAGATAATCTGGAGCCAGGTTTCCAGCAGGGGGGCTGAGCCATACCATTTCTAGTGATTGCGAAGTGACCACTGTCATGATCCTGGGGTGCAGCTAGTCTTCCTGTCTCTTTGATTGGACTTTGCCTGCTTATCCTACCCAGATAAGTCACTGGGATTAATGGTAAGAAAGAGATTGGAATGGGATCAACATGTTGTGTGGCCCTGAATGAGAATATGTAGCCCCATAACTCCTGTATAGAGCCAGGGTCACTAAATACAGCATGCATCAAAAACATTTGTTTACTCGAGAAGGTATCTAACTTCTTTGCACTATTTCTTGAAGCATTTGATGCAGTTTTCCATCGTGTTGCTCAGTTACTTTTGTAGAGCTTGTGTGAGATTTTAATTTTTTTTTAGGAATTTAGAACTACATCCGTCTTTACCTCCTTTGCAGTTTTTGGTAATAATTCTGTGTATGGGAAGAAAGAGGTTCTGTAGATCCAGAATCCTTAGAGCAGCCCTTGCAGTAACATTTCTAGTTTAGGTCTAAGATCAGATCATCACAGGGAGAGACCAGATAGGAATTTTGGACAAAGGGAGTGTGCTTAGGAAAACTAGATAACTTAATGTGTTTCCCTTTTCCGTTTTGGCTTCTTGAAAGCTGCTCAGTCCCAACTTGATTTTGTAGTTAGTTCTACTAGCCCTTGGGATGACGTTATCTTATTTCTCTTTCCAAGGTGCTGAATTTCTATTTCCATTTTATAAATCTGATTATATATAGTTTTTTTTATTGAAAGCTACTTCAAATTATTTTTGGAAAGAGGCAGGAAATTCTTTTCTTGTCCTCATATATTACTGTCCTCCCCAGGTACTGTCCATGATGGCAGTCTCTTCAGGGCCTTGAAATTGACCAGGGGTGGGGGATTGGGGTGTGTTGGCGGTCTCTGTACTTTATGGTCTGCTTTTTGGTATTGACTCTTCTGTTTGTCCTGGTACTCCCTCTATAAAGCTATTTTTCCTAGCAAAGAACTTCCTAGAATTTCTGAATTATATCACATTTAAGTCCCTTGTAGAATCTGCCATAAGTTGTAGGACAGTAGAGTTGGCCTAATTTCTCCTTCCCAAAGTAGCTGAGAAACTGACTGGAAGAAAGAACCCCATCTTGGGTTATATTTATCACTTCACTCAATATTATTCTTTCTCCTGTAGTTTTGCTTCTTCCTATTACTGACTCTGAAGCGCATACACATGATTGTTATATCTGTTGTAGTGGTTTGTAACATGGGTTGTGGAGCCAGATTGCTTGAATTTGAATTCTGACTCTCCAGCTTTGCCAGTTGTGTACTTTTTCAAATTCCTTAACCTCACTGTGCCCCAGGTTCCTCATCTATAAAATGGGAATAATCATAGTATCTACCTCATGGGATTGTTATAAGGATGAAGTGAATTTATACATATTGAGTACTTTAACATGTTTCTGGCATATCATTTTCAATATATGCTATTGATGACAAAGATTGCTCATTTAATTTTTTGGGTAGTACTTGCAAGAAAGTGCTGGTGAAAAAACTGGTAAACTTTTCTGGCAAATCATTACTTTAACTGCATTATCCTGCCCTGGAGCCAGAGTAAGTAACATAGAGTAACTTACAAAGGATGACTCTAGGACCTTGAAAAATCCCACGTGTCTGTGCTGGATTTGTATCACTAACTTCTTGTCTGTTTTTCATTTGTAGCTTAAGTTTCTTAATCTACCTTTTTAAAAGTCCATAATTTTATTTTATTTTTGAAAAATATTTTTATGTTCTTTTCAAGGGGTGCATGTTTGTTACATGAATATATTGTGTACTGGTGTGTATTGGACTTTAGGAGATAGTGAACATAACTTCTGATTCCTAACCCTCCTCCTGGCCTCTTCCAAATCTACCTTTAAGATGACCTCTCTTTCTTTATAATAATTTGTTTTCCATGTTCTTTTTTGGCCATTTTGTCAAATTGTGGGAATAACTTACAATCTTCCTGCCAATTTAATAAAGAATAGTGGCTTATTTTTGTATCTTTATCTGCGGGAAATGATTTCCATTCTGGGTCTACAAGTTCCTCAAACTTACATCGCTACAGCTTTCTCCCTGATTATGCAAATAGAAGTATAGCATGGAAATTCCTTCTCTAAATCAAGTCATTAGCAGCAAAAAAAAAAAAAAGGTAAAAATTGTATATGCATATTTTTGGGGAAAAAACTTGAACATGTATCATTTGGAACCAGGAGAAAGTAAAGAAGGAGTGGTGTGTGAAAGGGCATTCTCACATTTTTGTGTTAGATAAGCCTTAAAGGACTGGGGTTCAGTTAATAGGTACTTGTTGATCTTTCCATTAAAACAAAACTCAGAAGGAAGAGTTTCCTTGGTGTTCTTGCATATGGTGTCCTCTCATTTGTGCTTTCCTTATGCTTGAAATCTTGCAGGACTTTCCAGCAGCACAAAGGATTTGCTCTATGGGAAAATGTTTATGAGGTTAGACTCAGGCTTGCCAAGAAAATAAACCAAAAAATAAGACTAAATATCTTGCAGTTGGAAGCTCAAATGATTGGGACTTGTTTTCTGGGGTAGAATGACGCTAGCAAGGGAAATAGAAGCCATTCATTTCTTTCTTTGGTCAGTGTGAACAATTTGGACCTGTTTTCTCTGTGTGGGTCTCCACAGGGGGAAAACCATCTGGAAACAGATTTCCAAACATTTTTAGTGTTTAGTAGGGCTTGGGAATTCTGTGCAATCTTTCCTCTGAGCATACATCTCAGGTTAACTGTGCACTCGAGATCTGAAGGTGTGCAGGAGTTGAGGGGGTCCTCTGCTGATTGAGAGAGATTCGTTATCAGTGTGGATGGAGATGAGAAAGCTGTTCGTTCCTCATTCTGTGTGTCGAACTGCTGACCTCTGGCCATCACAATACTCTCCTTGATGGTGTCAAGCTGCTCTAGTTGTTTGTTGGGGACAGAGAATGAGCCGTGTCAGTAAACTTTTAGTCATGTCAGTGGAGACTGTTTTAGTTCTTCCCCTTTCAATTTTATGGCACTGGCTTTCAAAAAGCAGGATGGGGAAAACAAGAGATCCATCTAGCTCTGACTTATCCCAGATCCCTCGTGTGTACAATAATCACTTTAAATGAGGTAGCCACAGTTCAAGCCCAAATAAATTTTCTTCCTGACATGTAGCTTATCTGTTGCAAAGAGCTGGATTTTCCATGATTTTTTTTTTTCTGGCTTGCTGCTGCTCTTAAAAAGCTGGATAATACACAGTCTCTAAGAGCTATCTGGCACAGGGGCAAGGGGATTGCTTGTGGGTCTCATTTGGCCTTTTGTATCTCTTGAAGGGAGAATTAATAAACAGTTGTGTGACCCATTTGAAGGCACATTTGTAAGGTACACTGTCTCAACGGTGAAAAGACAGCAGTAACTCTAAGCATTGACTCATTTTTGGACTATTAAAAACAAAATAAAGTCAGAAAAATTTAAAATTTTAATCAGCTATTTAAAAATGCTTTTCATTTTTAACATATGATTAACCATATGTAACTTTGGCAATTTAGGTATATAAGGACACAATAAACTGATTTTGAATTTCTGGAGATGAGAAAGATTTAGGCTTATTCCTTCCCTTTATGAAAAATGAAGAAAAATTTGAGAACTCATCTTTTAAAAAGTGTGAGTTGTTATCATGGCACAAGTTTTAATACGGTTTCGGCACAGAATTTTGTACACTATTTCTGATTGAAAAGACTTTGAAACTAAAGAATTATCTGAAATATTTTTGTACGTCTGTAAAATCTCAAATCGGGTTCTTAAATGCAAAATTGAGACTCAGAGTGAGGCTGTGGTATCTGGTCTTTGAAATTTTAAATAAGGCATACCTTTTCTTTGGTTAAAAAGAAATTTGACTATAACTTGAGAATCACCATGAAGACAATCTTTAATGAAAAAAATAGACTAAGGATGAAATCACACTTGTGAGCAGAGAAGTATATGAAAGGCAGAAGTTCAAAATATCTCACCTGTGATAAATAACTCAATAGCAATATCAAAAATTTCTTGAGCACAGTAAGTAATGTCTCAGGCCCTGTACTAAGTGCTGGGGATTCTAAAATGAGTGAGACAGGATCCTTGACCTCAGGGGGTGTCATTACATCATAGGGGAGACAGATAAACAGCCAACAGAATAAAGCCTACGTTTAGAAGTCATGAGGCACATGAGTCTGGGGAAGCAAAGGAGGGACAGGAAGCATGTTATTCCTACAAGCGTCATCCTGATTTTCTGCTGTGAACTAAAAAACCAGGTCCAGATAATAGTCGTGAGGTGACCATATGGACATAATGTGACAACGATAATTTGGTGCTTGTAGAGCGTATTATGCTTTTAAAAATGCTTTACTAGATGTGTTTTTTTAGGCCCATCTACCTGTGCAGTAGATTATGCAAATATGCTTATTTCCTTAAGTGATACATAGCGAGTGTGAGTGAATAGTTACTGAGTGGTACCCCAGACCTGTTTTCTTTCTTCAATCCTCCAGTGAAAGAAATGGCCACTCATTTCCAAAGCATGTGTAGTAGTAAATTAGTTTCCTGGACATTATTTGCATTATGTAAAAGAAGTTTCCATTTTGAAGCAAGTTAAATTCTTTCTCATTCTTCAACATTCAGCTCAAAAGTCACTTTGGGGGAGACTTCCCTGAGCTCCCAAATCCCCCTTCCGTACATTCGCACAGCCCTCTGTACCTTCCACATTAGCACTTAACCCAGTTTGTAATTTGTCATTTGTATCGTTAATTGATTAATGTCTCTCTCCCCTATTCAAATGTCATCTCCATACAGCCGGGGGGTCATATCTCTTTTGGGTACCAATATATAGGCTCAGCATTTTGTGCCTTGCATATAGTAGTCAGTCAAGAAATGTTTGCTGAAGGAAATTTAATGTTTGTTTAATGTTTCCATTTAAAAAAAAAATATAGACTACCCAGCATGTGAGCAGCATACTTGTGCCAATGGAGCCTGCTATAACACTACTCAGAGGTGTGATTGGAAGATTGATTGCAGGGACTACTCTGATGAAATCAACTGTAGTAAGTAATGTGCTCGAGTTGTGTGGTGGTATGCTGAAGCTGGTTTATAATGACTTGAGATAGCCAATCATGTTGTGCATCTCTTCCCGAGTTCATGTTCTGTGAATTCATGTTGGTAGTTTGAAGTCAGCTGTTGGTGTGAGTATTGACACACTGGAAATTGGCAAACACTTCAAACCAGGGCCTTTCTGTTCCTAGAAACTGGTTGCTAAACATTTACCAGTGCACCACCGCCTAATAAGAGTCCTGTGAGATTACATGGCTACAGTGGAATTAAATTCTTTATTTTCTTTCCCTTGTTAACCTTGTGTTCCAGCTGAAGTGTGCTTGCAAAACGAGTTTTCATGTGGCAGTGGAGAGTGTATCCCTAACACCTATGTCTGCGACCATGACAATGATTGTCAAGATGGCAGTGATGAACATGCTTGCAGTACGGTGATCTCTTTATTCGGGGTCATATTGTTAGGAGTGTTTTTGTTTTGTTTTTCTACCAATGTACCGCTTTTCTCAAAGAAAAGAGTATCTATGGTTGATGGCAGATGGAGCCAGAAGATGATTTAGGGGCCATGGGACAAGCCTTCACGGTGTGTTGCTGGACCCGGGCTCCTTTATCTTCTAGGGTTCTGTGTAGAGTTGAAGGGTTATTGATGGACAGTTTTGCATTCTTTCCTTAGGCTCCAAGGGTGCAGGGTCTATTGTATCACTGAACTCTCAAATTACCCATACCTCAGGAATGGGCCTGATAACCTTGATAGTTGAGTGAGAAGGGCTTGAAAGGGAAAGGAAGTTCCCTAGTAGTAGTGGTTCTAACGCTCCTCTTTACTTTGGAACCACTTCACTCTGACCCCTCTTTTACTTCCATGCTGTTACCCGCAATGCAAACTACCCCTCTGATTGTCGTCACCTTTTGACTCATATCTTTCTTTTTTTGTTGTTTTTGTTGTTGTTGTTGTTGTTTTTTTGAGTTGGAGTCTCACTCTGTCGCCTAGACTGGAGTGCAGTGGCTGCTCCCGGCCACTGCAGCCTCGACCTGCTGGGCTCCGGCAATCCTTCTGCCTCAGCCTTCCAAGTGGCTGGAACTACAGGCGCGCACTACCACGCCCGGCTAATTTTTTTGATTAATTGTAGAGATGAGGTCTTGCCAAGTTGCCCGGGGGGTCTTGAACCCACAGGCTCAGGCAATTCACTCACCTCGGCCTCCCAAAGCGCTGGGATTACAGGCTGAGCCACTGAGCCCGGCTGAAATTTCAGTTTCTAGGAGTTGTGTTTAGGCAGTGAGGTAAGCCCTTTGATTTTTTCCATGTGATTTGTGTCTTTGGAGTACAGCTGTTGCTTTCTTCCAGACTACCCAACCTGCAGTGGTAACCAGTTCACTTGCCCCAATGGCCATTGCATCCATCAAAACTGGGTTTGTGATGGAGAGGACGATTGTAAAGATAATGGAGATGAAGATGGATGTGGTAAGGAGGGGAAGGGATTCTTAAGGAAAAGCGTTTTCTTAAATTGTTTTCCAGAACTTGTTTTGCCTCCTTTTCCTTTTTAGAAATTTCGTATGACAGGCAGGGCTCAGGACTGGCTAAAGTTTAAAAGAGTTGCTTAGGCACTTAGTGGTTGGGGAAGAAGGAGGTGACTCTACTTGCTTTTTCTAAAAAGACTCAGAACTCAAATATAGATTAAATTATAATGTTCTCCTTAAGACAAAATAGGCAGGACAGTCTTCCCCCGTTCTATATCCCACTCAGACTTTCCCCTATATCCCACTCAGACTTTCCTGCTTTCAGACTCCCTATTTTAACTGGATTAACCTATGCAAAAGTAGTAGGCTGGCGAAGGAGGAAAAATAGAGGGGGAAATGTGATTGTTTTAGATGTTACAACCTTAAAAAACAACTCTGAACCTTGGTAACAATTCAGGCATGTGGTTTTGGTTTTTTGGGTTTTTTTGGGTTGTTGTTTTCAAATTCTGGTTTCCTGATGATCCACTGACATCCAGTGGTGAGAGACCACATTAGGAACATGAGGGATGGAGCTAGGGCTTGGTAGATTCAGGTTAGCCAGGGAAGTGTGTGAGAAGATTCTGTGAGAAGGAATGTGCCAGTGACATTCACGCCTTCAGCCTGCTGGTATCAGCAGTGCCTAAAATAGTGCAGAAGTTACTAACACCCTAAATCAAGTTACCTGCACCATTTCCAATCCCAGATTTAATAAAGAAGCCTGTTCTGGAGACATCCACTGGCTTTGTGCTTTCATGTTCCAGGAAGTAGTCTTCCTACATTTGGGTTATATATTTTTTTCTTTTTTAAGTCAAGATCTCCCTCCGTTGCCCAGGCTGGAGTGCAGTGGTACTCTCATGGCTTACTGCAGCCTTGACCTTCTGAGTTCAGGCGATCATTCTGCCTCAGCCTCTGGAGTAGCTGGGACTACAGGCACATACCACTCATGCCCAGCTAATCTTTTTAAAAAAATTTTGTAGAGGTGAAGTCTCGCTGTGTTATCCAGGCTGGTCTCGAACTCCTGGTCTCAAGCAAGCCTCTCACCTCGGTCTCCCAAAGTGCTGGGATTACAGGCATGAGCCACTGTGCTCTGCCCTGGTTTTTCTTATACTATTGATATTTCATTAAATAAAACAAATCAAACAACTCAAACACAAACTCAGGAATCCTGGAGTTACCTTGATGGCCTTAGTTCTATAATTCAGGAATAAATAACTGCATCTTTTAATAAGGAGTTATGAATCTAGTTTATTGATAATTCAAGCCTAGATTTGCTTCGTATTCTTTTAACCTGGCTGGAGCCTGCCCCCTCCAGAAAAAGTGGAATAATTCCATTATGCCATTCCTTAGATCTCAATACAAGGCTAGTGGTAGAGTTAGAAACTACTGTTTTATTGTAAAATATAGATTACTTGTAGATTTCTGTGGTTTAACTTGGTCTATATGCTCTCTTAGCCACTGATTAAAAAAGAGCTGGCTCTGCTTTTCATGTGGCTAGTAACACATGCTCTTGTGTGCTCTCTTCTCTCTCTCTCTCTGTATAAATATATATATATACATATTTTTTTCCCCTCACAGAAAGCAATGTTCAGAAATGTCCTCCAAGACAATGGGCTTGCCCAAACTCTGGACAATGCATCTCAATTTATAATGTTTGTAATGGGAATAGTGATTGCCCAGGAGGAGAGGATGAAAACAGTACCACTACCGGAAAATATTGTGGTGAGTATGTAAATTTATTTGGATAGCTTTCAGATACTTATTTTTTTTTTTTTTCTAGAACAGATTCTCAAATGCAGAGCATATTGGCTGGCGTTTGCATTGCAAACTACTCCAAGACTTAGTGGCTTAAACCAAAAAACATTTATTTCTTAAAATTCTGTGAGTTGGCTAGGTAGTTCCTCTGGTCTATACCAGCTCAATCATATGGCAGGATGTTGCAATAAAAGCTTGGGCTAGAGCTGGGCTCGGTGGCTCAGCCTGTAATCCCGCGCCTTGGGAGGCTGAGGTGAGTGAATTGCCTGAGCCCGCGGGTTCGAGACCCGCCTGGGCAACTTAGCGAGACCTCATCTCTACAATAAATCAAAAATTAGCCGGGCGTGGTAGTGCGTGCCTGTAGTTCCAGCTACTTGGAAGGCTGAGGCGGAAGGATCGCTGGAGCCCAGCAGGTTGAGGCTGCGGTGGCCAGGAGCGGCCACTGCACTTCAGTCTGGGCGACAGAGTGAGACTCCAACTCAAAAAGAAAAAAAAAAGATTCTTTCAAGTCACTGCCTTTGACCAGGCTCCGTGGCTTAGCCTGTAATCCCAGCACTTTGGGAGGCCGAGCTGAGTGGATTGCCTGAGCCCGCGGGTTCGTGACCTGCCTGGGCAACTTGGTGAGACCTCATCTCTACAATAAGTCAAAAAAAAATTAGCCGGGCGTGGTAGCGCGCGCCTGTAATTCCGGCTACTTGGAAGGCTGAGGCAGAAGGATCGCTGGCGCCCAGCAGGTCGAGGCTGCGGTGGCTGGGAGCGGCCACTGCACTCCAGTCTGGGTGACAGAGTGAGACTCCAATTAAAAAAAAAAACAAAAAAAAACTTGGGCTAGCCCAGACTTGATTACACAGTGGTGGTAAGGGCAAACCCTAGTGCTCAAGCCCTTTTAAGGCTCAAATGATGTCATGTTCATTCAAGTCTTATTGTCCAAAGCAAGACATTTCACCAAGTCCAGAATGGATAGAAGAAATAGACTCTATCTCTTGAAGGGAAAGAGTTTAAAAAAATTTTTGGTAATCCCTCCCAACCCCCAACCCCCAACACACAGGAGGAATTGTTTCAGTGGCAATTTAGATGACCCTAAAGGTGTTCTGGAGGTTTTGTTTCCTGGCTTATACTTATGGAAAAAGGTCTTGTCTGGCTATACTTTTATTTTATTTTTTATTTTTATTTTTTTTTAGTTGGAGTCTCACTCTTTCACCCAGACTGGAGTGCAGTGGCCGCTCCCAGCCACCACAGCCTCGACTGCTGGGCTCCGGCGATCCTTCTGCCTCAGCCTTCCAGTAGCCGGAATTACAGGCATGTGCTACCACGCCCGGCTGATTTTTTGATTTATTGTAGAGATGAGGTCTTGCCAAGTTGTCCAGGCGGGTCTCAAACTCGCAGGCTCAGGCAATCCACTCACTTCAACCTCCCAAAGCGCGGGATTACAGGCTGAGCCACCGAACCCGGCACCCCCCCGCTTTTTTAAAGCTTCTGGTTTCTGGGTTATCTTCTTTGAGTTACTCTTCAGTAGTGAAAGTGAATTGGCCATGCACAGTGTTGGCTTACATGACCACACTTATTTATAAATAAACTAACTGGAATTAAGTTTTTTCTCATTTATTGTGACTGTAGAATATTTCTGCTACCACCAGCCATCAACTCTGTGGACAGTTGACTGTCCTGTAAAAGAATCCTATTTATGACCCTGATTTCATCAGTAGTATACTCTCTAACTAAATTAGGTTGCCTGGAAGTGTCCATGTAACTGTAATCTCAAAGCTATTTTTTGTTTTCTTGACAAAACTTGTACATAATATTTCACCCCCTCAGCTGGGCATAGTGGCTCAGCCTGTAATCCCAGCACTTTGGGAGGCTGGGGTGAGAAGATTGCCTGAGCTTGGGGGTTCGAGACCAGCCTGAGCAACTTGGTGAGACCACATTGCTACAATAAATCACAAAAACTAGCTTGGCATGGTGGCGTGCGTCTGCAGTTCCAGTTACTTGGAAGGCTGAGGCAGAAGGATCACCTAAGCCCAGCAGGTTGATGCTGCTGTGGCTGTGAGTGTGCCGCTGCACTCCAGCCTGGGCGACAAGAGTGAGACTAGGACTCAAAATAAAATAAAAAAAATTCACCCCCACCCCCCAATTTCACGTGGGAGTCTCTTAAGCAATTAACAAGAGATATGTAGTCCTAGTGCAAGTTAGAAAATAAGAATTGACAGAAAAAAAATATATAATGACCTGAAATTTCATCACTTGAAGCTAAGCACAATTAAAATTTTTAGGATATATTCTTGGTCCAGTCACTTGGACGTTCTTAGCCTTTTTTAGATGTAAAGGTAGACCTATGGCCTGATTATTTTCATAAATAACACTTATAATGACTTGTACTTTCACATAAGTTATAACTATAAAAAGGACTTTAAAAAACGTGGATTGAGCTTTTATTACATAATATTACAGTAAGGTTTGAATGATGTGAGATTTTTCTGTACCTTTATTGCATGATTACTTGACTTTTACTTACTGAAAAAAAGCCACTCCGTGAATCAATCTTGTCCAGATTCATCATTCGTTTCACAAAATTCTTTTCTCTGTTTAGACACGACTATGTGTTCTGCCTTGAGCTGTGAGTACCAATGCCGCAGTACGCCATATGGAGGGGCGTGTTATTGTCCTCAAGGTTATATCATCAACCACAATGACAGCCGAACCTGTGTTGGTAAGTGACAGGCGGGGCCACTGGTTTTCATCTTAGAGCACGATGGCTTCCATGATCTCTGGCATTAAGAAGTTTTGTGGATAGGGGTGTTGGTCTGTCATAACAAAGAACAACACAGTCCTCACTGAAAACCTGAAAACAGGAAGCTTTAACTTGGAGGAGCTTTTGCGTGGTGCACACGGCAAAAGAGTGGTTCACTGATGAGTGAGTTGACTAGCAGCATGAACCTATCCACTATCTGATGATGGAAGTGGTTCTTTTGTGTTTTTTTTGGTAAGCATTTGGAATTAAGGTTGGGGTGACCATACTGGTTATTCAATATTAATACTTCCATGAGATTGGTAGGTAGCTGTCGCATTGAGCCCATCAAGCACCCCTACCTTGTTCCCCTGGCCTCTTTTCCAAATGTGCAAATATCTCCAGTACCCAGCAGCAAAAGAGTTGTCTCCTGACACAGCAGTGGATCACTGGGTCACTGCTCAGGTGACTCCACTGAAGGGTCACTGCCCATGCTGTGCTGGCTGTTCATTCCATTGATTTTTACCTCTACTTGGAACTAGCATTTAAGATGAGCAAATTCTTTATCATGATGCTTCCAGTGGTTGATATTGAACTTGACACCATTGCACCAAATATTTCCCCACATCTCTCCCATCTGACTTATAAAAATGATTTCTTTTGCTGGAAGACTTTGATTTTGGTGCCAGTTTTATATCTCACTGTGATTAGGAGGGGTCCTTATGATGGGTGAACTAGACATGATCAGGTATCATCAGTTTTCATTTTCTTAGGATTTGAACAATGAATTTTAAAAAATTATTTTAAAGTTGTGGGGTTCAATTCAGGGTTAGATGTACAAATGTTCATTATGCAGGTACCCTTGCTGATGAGGTATGTCCCCCCCAGCAGATTCCCACTACTGCCAATCCCGCCTCCCCCACCCCTCACAGTTTCCCGCTACTGCCAATTCTTTTCTTATGGTATTACAATAATTGTTCAAGGTTCACTTATGAGTAAGAACGTGTGATACTCAGTTCTTTGTTTCTGTGATAGATAAGTTAGTATTATAGACTAAGTCGATCTAAGTTGCTGTGAAGTTCATAATTTTGTCCTTCTTTATGACTGTGTAATATTCCATCATGTATATGTACCACATTAAAAAAAATTCATTCCTCTTTCAATGGGCAGCACGATTGGTTGCATGTTTTTGCTATTGTGAATAATTCTGCAATAAACACACAAGTGCAGGTATCTTTTTTATAGAGTAATTTGAATTACTCTGGGTATATTCCCAGTAGGGGAATTGCAGGGTTGTATGGAAGGTCAATTTTTAGGTCACAGTGAATTTTTAATCCCCTGATTTCTTTTATTTGTTTCTGATTTGCGATGCATGAACAACAAACATATACACAGAAAGTGACCACAGAGGTTTTAAAAACAACTTGGTTTTTACTGTATTGGGAAAAGGCATCTGGAAGGCAACTGAAGCTATTCATGAAAATTAAGCTTGGTAGTCATCTGTGGATCTTCAAGAGATAGATGATTCAGAATCTTCCCAGGACATTTGTGTTCTTTTGATATTCCTGAGAAATTTGAGGGTTTTTTTTTTATAAGGCTTTCGGGATAAAAAATAAACATGACTTGCGTAAGAAATAATTTCTGAAATATTAACATAATTTGGCAAAAAAATACTTTCAATAAACGTTATGAAGTGATTCAATCTTTAGTCTTAGCTCATGGCTTCCAATGTAATTATACTTTGTTGAATATGACTGATCTTAATAATTACTCATGACCATAAAAACCTCTTGACCCCAGGAATAAACTCTGGTTTGCAAAGTAAACTTGGAATTCTTGAGAAAGTCTGTTCCTCAGTATTACTGAGAATTATAATAGTGGGGCTTACTTATCCTCATATGCCAAGAAAAAACTGGAGTTTTATATCCAGTAAAGCAATCCAATTGAAGTTATCTTCGTGGTGTTGTCAAGGTAGGCACTGCTAGGTTTTTAATATCAAGACTATGTCCCAAAGTTTTCCCCAAATCTAATTGCTCCTCTTAAGTAACTGTATTTGACAAAGTGCATTAAGATCAAGTGACTTACACGTCACTGTCAACCTGAGAGATCCTGGAAACTCAGAGAGAGCTCTGAATTATTTAAGAAAAGCTTCCCCCAATTTCTAATTGTTTTGAAACATTTTATAAATAAAACATTATGATGTGCAACTGGCCTTAAACAAGATTGCAGGACACTTTTTGTGTTTTATTATTATCACTACCGTTATAATAGTCATTATACTGGGGATGCATTCAAGTAATTTACAAGTACGTTTCACAGGAGTGTCCTTACTTGTTAGGTGGCTTTCTGACTTTGGAAGCCCTGTCTGTTTCTTGGCATCCCTGCCAGGCAGCCTCCCTTTGTCCAGGGTGGTGCTCTTCTAGGGGTGTGAGACTGCTCCTTTGTCTTTAGCAAATGTCAGGCTCCTCTGTCCCCCTTTATTGCCACCCAGCTGCCAATCCCATCTCCAGCTTTTTCGTTCTTTAGGCATTTTCCTTTTCTCTTAGTAGAAAAGGAATTTCAATAGAAATACCAGAAGCCACATTCTCAGTATTACGTCAGCTGTTCTCTCGTTTTTGTTTCTTAGCCCCCAAAGAGGAGTTTGGGACAGAGCAGTCTTAGAGTTGAAACTTGGTAGGCCATGAAGTCTTTTCAGTAAAAGTGATTTGTTCTTTCAGAATCCCTAGTTCAGTCTTGTTGATACCCCACAACCTGTTCTCAGTCTTTCTTTTCACCCTAGAGCCCAGATAACACTTTTTCCATCTTTTACAATATGGAAGTCTATGATGAGCCTTGGGTACTGTTTCTTTTTTTACTTTTTTTTGAGTTGGAGTCTTACCCCATCACCCAGGTTGGAGTACAGTGGCATGGTCACGGTCACCGCAGCCTCCACCCGCTGGTCTCAGGTGATCCCCACCTCAGCCTTCCAAGTAGCTGGAACTACAGGCATGTTTCACCATGCCCAGCTAATTTTTCTTGATTTATTGTAGAGATGAGGTCTTGCCAAGTTGCCCAGGCTGGTCTTGAACCTGTGAGCTTAGGCGGTCCTCTCACCTCAGCCTCCCAATGTGCTGGGATTATAGATGAGAGCCACCGTCCCTGGTGGGTTCTGTGTCTGAGTGTCTAGGACTTCTTAAACTTCAGAGGTTCAGGTCACTTCAAGTTTTGCAACTCCTTAAGGAGTGAAAGGCTGTGATAACAAGGTTCTTGTTTTTAAAAATTTACATTTGACCTATTAATGAATATAACACAAAAAGATCACAATTTATGCTGTGCACAAAATAATTTCAGGTTTTAGAGATCATATTCAGTTTATATAACATATTGGAGGTAGTGTGGGCCAATACCGAGGCGCTAGTTTTAAGTTCCACAACAGACACTTTCTTTCAATCCCTCAGTACATTTCTGGGACTTTAGTGCAGACACCCTCATTTGGAGATAATCTCAAATGTCTACATTTGAGGACCTTTGTGAATATGAGGCCCTCTGCCATCTGTAGAGACCTTTTCTGTGACCTTCTCTACCCTTCAAGAATTTGTCATTTGCCCCTAACTTTTGAAGCTGAGTTCACATTTATTTCACACTTGTGCCAAAGAAGACCATATTTTCTGTCTTTGTAAAGATAGCTCTTTAAATACATGACATTATGAAACTAGTTATACTTGTTTCAGCCAAGCTAAAATTTTAGGGAAATTGTTGTTTTGATTTGCTCTCTCAAGCATTTCAATTCAACAAATGCTGCCTGTATATCTGTAACCCTCTGCCTGGTTGACTCATTACAGAGGCTTTAGGTTTTAGAAATGTATGCCACATTTGTTATCTTGGACATGGCTCCACAGTGAATACCTCGGTGGTAATCAAGAATAACATTGAATAATCCTGACACGAAATCTTGTGTCTTTCTACCATTCATTGGCCTCTGGTAGTTTTGACCTGGCGGTGGAGCCCCTGCATCTTGCTGAAGCAGTTTACTGGGCTCATTGTTTCTGATTGACAGGACATGCTGTTTGTTGACAGAATGACATCGTGGTGCAGAGTGAGGGCAGGGAGGTCATTCAGCATGGTGGGGTTTCACACAGCCAGATGGATCAGAGGGTGTCTAAGGGGGTCTAAGCTAAAAAGGAGGTTTTGAATTATTTTCAAAGCAGTATTTGTTGGTAGGAGGAGACAGAGAATAAAAAGGAAAGTAAAACAGATACAAACTGGGTTGGGAGGTGGATTATAACGTGGTGTTTCAGTGTTTTACGTAGTTTCTGTTATTTTTTTTACTGTTGTGTAAATCCTCAATTCTACGTTTGTTTTCTTGTCTTCACTTTGGCTGAGGGTGGATATTAAAGAGTCTTCATATTTCTCCATAGTGATCTAAAGGATACAATTTTATTCAGTCGCTAAAAGTAATAGATTTTATACGTTTATTCGAATTCTTAAAGCACTTGCAATGCAGGTGATAGGAAGGGCATTTGTGCCCAAGAAGTCCTAGTTATGACTTCTCCACCTTTTATTTCATTGTGTTTGACATCAGAACTCCTGCTCCCAGGGTGACTCTAGACCCTTAGATATAGTCTCATGGATCTTGCATTCAAAATGAGGTCATGACAAAAAATTTTTATTTTAGCGTTGTGGAGTATATGTGAGGATTTACTACATAAGTAAATTGTGTGCAGGCGAGGTTTGGACTTCTAATGGGCCCTCTCTCCCCCAGGTAGTGGACCTGGTACCCAGAGTGTGGTTGTGTGCCCCCTGTCTCGCCTCCGTCTCTTTCTCTTCCTCCCTCCTTTGGCAGTGTCCAGCATCTGTTGTTTGCACCTTTGGGCTTGTGTGTCCAGTGATCAGGGCCCACTCTATGAGTGAGAACATACAACATTCAGACTTTTGTTTCTGTGATAGTTCACTTAAAATGATGATCTGCATCTGCATCCATGTTGCTGCAAAGGACATGATTTTGTTCTTTATGGCTGTATAGTATTCCATCACGTATATATACCACATTCTCTTCATCCAGTCAACTTTGGATGGGCATCTGGATTGGTTTTATGTTTTGCTATTGTGAATTCCAGGCATTTGAGGAAGATTGTCCTGTACTTTCATTCCTACTGAGGTGAAGCCTTAGGTGGAGTTTTCTCAGGGCTGAGGTGAGGGCACAGAAGAGATTCATGCCCACGTGACCTTCTACCCGGTCAATCTAGATCATTCTTTTCTTTGGTTAGTCATAGTCCTTGGAAAGAAAGATATACTGGCTCATGTTGTTATGTTTGGTCGGGAGGGAATACCGCAGCCATTAGCTTGATCCCAGAATCGTCTTGGGTTTTTCTAGTTCGAGAGTCATGGAATGGTGGGCCACCCAGAAGGTATGGTAGAACACAATTCCTGCAAATGTAATCAGATCCTAGAAATCTGGAGAATTCTAGACCTGAAAACATTATGGTTTCAGAAATTCTAATCTACTTGAGAATTTCCTGAAGACAGGGGGCATGGGAACCCTATGGAAGTTGAAATTATTTTCAAGACATGAAAAATTTCTTCTCATATTTTCATCCATTGACTTATGAATCATTCACTGTGGCTATGAAGGTCACTCTTCCAGGGAAAAGAACAGGATAAAGGAGGATGGACGTTGGACTTGGATTTGGAAAGTAAAATATACCATGGATAGGACAATTTCTGCACACTTCAACCCTTACAGTCTTCAAGAAAGATCCTTTTTATATGTTGTGTTCTTTTTCCCTACCCCCATATGTACTGTTTATGTCAAACTCTTATTTACACAGAGGAATTGAGACTTCTCTGGCAATGAACAGAGCTCTGTCATGTAAGGGACTTTCGGTAAACACTTATTAAACAAATGAATAATAAGTTAATGAATAAGTAGAATACATTTTTCATGTCTTGAATGTAATTTCAATTATGATTTTTTGACAAAAAGACAGCTGAGTAAATAGACGTTTTCAAACACTTTATTTTATTCACAGATTTGTGCTTCTTGGAGGGGCTAGATATAAAGCAAGTCTTACTTTATTCTTAAATAGCGCTGTCTAATAGAACTTTCTGCAATGATGTCAATGTTCAATATCTTTCCTCTCCCATATGGTAACTATTAGTTCAGTGTAACCGTTGAGCACTTGAAATGTAGCAAATGTGACTGGGAAACAATGATTAATTTAATTTAATTTAAATTAGTCTAAATATACATTTTAGGCTCCACATGGGGTGCAGCTCCTGTTTTGGAAAGCACAGTTTTAAAGGGAAACATTAACCTCCTAATTTTTATCATTTTGTAAACCAGTGTGAACAGATGAAAGCAATATCACAGGGCTATGAATTCAAGCAGTGTTGAGCATCTTCTATAAAGTTAATTCTTCATGTAGTTAAAAAAAAATTTAAATGCCCCTTTCCCTTAAATAAAGATCTTTGTTTTTAATTCATATTTTGTTATCATATGCCTAGAACCTGTGCCTACCTCTAAAGAGGGATTATTTAGACACAGGGAAGCTCATACTCCTGGCCATCTTATCCAGAATTTTTTGGGAAGAGGGTACTCACGAAATGTTGGTAAACATGATTACAAATGTGTATTTCCTATGTGGCAGAGTTTGATGATTGCCAGATATGGGGAATTTGTGACCAGAAATGTGAAAACCGATTATTAGGCTATGCCCGGTGCCACTGTGAAGAAGGGTATATCTTGGAGCGTGAACGTCATTGCAAAGCAAATGATTCCTGTGAGTAAATTACAGACACCTGTATCTCTGAACAGTAACCTTCTAATATCTTCCTTCCACAGCTAGTGACAAAAGAATTATCAGTATTTATGCTGGTGATAGGGTTTTGTTTATCATCACAAATCAGGGATGGCCCCTGCTGCCAGAAAGAATGAGTCAATTTCTCCCTCCCTCCCTTCCTTTGAGATAGGATCTTACTTTGTCACCCAGGCTGGAGTGCAGTGGTGTAGTTGTAGCTCACTATAGCCTCAAATTATGGGGCTCAAACAAACCTCACACTTTAGCTTCCTGAATAGCTAGGACTCAAGATATGCGCCACTGTACTCGGCCTAACATTAATTTTATACTTTGATTATTAAGGACCAATTTGTGGATGAATTGTTTGTTAACTTTGGTCTAGGCTATCATCTCACCTATCTTTAATTATGAAATAAATTTTATGCCTATATTTGAATGGTGTGGACATTTAACTTTTAATTAATTTACTTTGCTCAAAAGTTGGTGACAATTATCTATAGAAATAATTTCAGCATTGTTTATGCAAAGTTTAAGGGTGTTTCCAAATGGACATGCCAAATTGGAATTAAAATTTGTGTGAATGCCCTCATTCTGGGTATTCTCTGGCATAAATCTAAGAATACCAGAGTAGGGAAGAGTCATGGGGAAAACCTGCTAAAAAAAAAGACGAGCCCCTCAAGGCATTTTGTCATTATGGATTTCTGGGAAAGAAGGTCTCAACTCTTCTTTTCCAATTGTTATTCCACACTTGATTTTGAAGTGCCTTTGGTGCCAAACTTAACTGCGCCCATGATTAACAAATGGCCCATTTTCTAGTTGTTTTTACAAAGAAATACCTGATTTGCTGTGTACTAACTTTTAGGTACAGCTGATTTTTAACAATTCAATTTATTTATTTTTGAATAGGTAATATATTCATATGTTTAAAATTTTAAATTATAAGAAGGTATATAGTGAAATGCCTCCCTCTATTCTTGTCCCCCTCTGTCTGGTTTCCACTTCTTTTTCATGGATAATTTCTGTTTATTTCCATTCTAGAGATCTGTTTTGTTTGTTTGTTTTGAGTCAGAGTCTTGCTCTGTTGCCCAGTCTGGAGTGCAGTGGCACAATCATGGCTCACTGCAACCTCAACCTCCTGGACTCAGGCATTCCTTTTGTCTCAGCTTCCCAAGTAGCTGAAACTGCAGGTGTACGCCATGATGCCTGGATAATATTTTTACTTTTGATAGAAATGAGATCTTGCTATGTTGTCCAAGCTGGTCTCAAACTCCTGGGCTCAAGCAATCCTCCCACCTCAGCTTCCCAAAGTACTGGGATTACAGGCACAAGCCACCAAACCCAGCCTCAATTCTACAGATCTTTAAATGCATATATAAGAGTGTACGAATATAGATATTTGTATCCTATTTTTTACATATATGGTTTAAAACTATATACAGAATTATGCATCTTGCTAATGTCAATTTTTTCTTTTCTTTTTCTTTTTTTTTTTGAGTTGGAGTCCCACTCTGTCGCCCAGACTGGAGTGCAGTGACTGTTCCCGGCCACCGCAGCCTCGACCTGCTGGGCTCCAGCGATCCTTCCGCCTCAGTCTTCCAAGTAGCTGGAATTACGGGCATGCGCTACCACACCCTGCTGATTTTTTTGTAGAGATGAGGTCTTGCTGCCCAGGCGGGTCTCGAACCCTCAGGCTTAGGCAATCCACTCATCTCAGCCTCCCAAAGGCACGGGAATACAGGCTGAGCCACCGAGCCCAGCTTAATGCCAATATTTTCAAGAGCTTTCCCTATCAGCACACAAAACTCTTCTTTAATTCTTTTTTTTAAATAATGGCATAATATTTCACTTTTTGGATATACATAATTTATTTAACTAGTCCCCTACTGATTGACTTTTATATCATTTCTTATATTTTGTTTTTGCAAATAAGACTGCAATAAGTATAGACAGAGAAGACTTGAAACCGTCCTTGCTGTGTTTTTCATAGAGTGATTTCCTGGTAATCTTTAAAATGTATTCTGTGATTAACATAAACTCCATGGAGGTAAGGTACTCCTATCATTAAAAGCCTCAAATTCCTGATGTTTTCTCCTCAGTGTCATTTAAAGGGCATTGGACCAGCAGTCAGGGCATTTGAATTCTTGCCACACTCTTCTTAACGTTCTGTGACTTGGACATGCCATTAAGCATTCTTGTGCCTCAATATGCCCTTCTGTAAAATGGGTAGTATGATAGCTCCCTGTTTGTCTCAGAAGTTTATGTTAAACTCAGGTAAGATGATGTAGATGATAGTATGAGAAAGCTTGTTAGTGGTAGGTTACTTCCCCATCCTTGTTCACCTGAAGGAGTGGTAATGCCTTCCCTCTTCCCATTTAGTTGGTGAGGGCTCCATCATCTTCTCCAATGGTCGGGATTTGCTAATTGGTGATATTCATGGGAGAAACTTCCGGAGCCTCATAGAGTCTGAGAATCGTGGAGTGGCAGTGGGTGTGGATTTCCACTATCGCCTGCACAGAGTCTTTTGGACAGACGTTGTGCAAGATAAGGTAAATAGAAATTTCAGGAGCTTAGCTTGGGAGCTGAATAGGACCCCAAGCACTAAGTGTTGATAGCTTTTCATTTTTGGGGGAGTAGAGGGAAAAGTTCCTTTGTTTTCTAACAAAAAAGGCTCTTGAGATATTTTATGTTAATCAGCACCTTTTCCATGCTATACTATTACATGTGACCTATTAAACAAAGCAGTCTATTATATGGATTAGCCTTGAGCAACTTTTAATTTTATTCGAAATGGAGTCCAAAAGCCTAATTAAAAGAAATAGTAGACATTCTTTCAAAACTGGATAGATATTTGGTAGTAATTTTTGAAACTTGATCACTTAAAATGAAAAAAGTATTCTGCTTTCCTGGATGATAAAAATCAGATTTTTACCTGCATCTCCGAAATGGAACTGTAATTGAGAACTGGGTAACAAATATTGACAGTATTTTGATTAATAGCCAAAATTTTGTTACACTGTCTTATGTGGAAAGTATGATGGATTTAATTTCAACTTTGAGTAATGTAGTGGAGATTTTTGAAACATAAATTTAGAGACTCCTAAAGAGTTATGGGATTTCATTTGTTTCTTCATCTTATATTTTCTTCTTCTTCTTCTTCTTTTTTTTTAAAAGCTGAGGTCTCACTCTGTTGCTCAGGCTGGTGTGTACAGCTCACTGTAGCCTCAACCTTCTGTGTGCTTAGGCAATCCTTCCACCTCAACCACCAGAGAAGCAGGGTCTATAGGTGCATGCTCCTATGCCAGGCTAATTTTTTTTTTTTTGAGTCGGAGTCTTACTCTGTTGCCTGGACTAAAGTGCAGTAGCACGCTTACAGCCACCACAACCTCATTCGGCTGGGCTCAGGCAATCCTTCCACCTCAGCCTTTCAAGTAGCTGGAACTACAGGTGTACGCCACCATGCTCAGCTAATTTTTTGAATTATTGTGCAGACAAGGTCTCTCGCCAAGTTCTCCAGGCTGGTCTCGAACCCCTGGGCTCAGGCAATCCTCTTGCCTCGGTCTCCCAAAGTGTTGGGATTAATTGTGTGAGCCACCACACCCAGCTAATTTTTTTTTTTTTTGGTAGAAATGATATCCTGCTATGTTGTCCGGGTTGGTCTCGAACTCCTGAGTTCCAACAATCCTCTTGCCTCGGCCTCCCAAAGTGCTGGGGTTACAGGTGTAGTAAGCCACTGTACCCAGCCACTTTCTCTGACATTTTCTTATACCGTTAATACAATTCTAGTTCATTTAAATCATAATTTGCATGAAGTTTCTAAAAGCTAGGAATTTGGATTATTAGCAATTCTGATTAGATGAATAATCATCATTCAAAACAAAACAAACCACACAGTTGGTTATGCTTAAGTATAATAATTTTGGTTTTTTTTTCAGGTTTTTTCAGTTGATATTAATGGTTTAAATATCCAAGAAGTTCTCAATGTTTCTCTTGATGCTCCAGAGAACCTGGCTGTGGACTGGGTTAATGATAAACTTTATCTGGTCGAGACTAAGGTCAACCGTATAGATATGGCCAATTTGGATGGAAGCTACCGGGTTACCCTTATAACAGAAAACTTGGGGCGTCCTAGAGGAATTGCCTTGGACCCAACTGTTGGGTAAGTGATGTGAAAATATGCTGATTCATGTATTTTTGGACTTGTATCTCTCCCCTTACACATTGATCATCCATTGGATTAATTGAAGAAGATTTAATTCGTAGAAGATTTAAGGATGTTTTTAAATATAATCCCATTTGAGGATATGTAGTCCAAACACATCTACCGGTATACTAAAAATACTTGATGTTTTGGGGGTATGAATTTAGAGAACCATGGGGCTATAAAAAAACAGAGGGCCAATCAGGAGTGTCAACAACTCCAAATAGCAACTATTACAATGCACTAATATTCTGGCCTAAAAATTCACATTTGGCCAGCCAGGCATAGTGGTGTGTACCTATAGTTACAGCTACTCAGGGGGCTGGAGCAGGAGGAATACTTGAACCCAGGAGTTTAAGGTCATCCTGAGCATTTAGAAAGAATCCATCTTTTTAAAAAGTAATATGCTCCTTCTTTTTAAAATTTATTTTATTTTTATCTCGTTTATTTATTTATTGGTCAGAGTCTCACTTTGTTGCCTAGGCTGGAATGCAGTGGCATAGTCATGGCTCACCACAGCCTCGACCTCCTGGGCTCCAGCGATCCTTCTGCTTCTGCCTCCTGAATTGTTGGGTCTATTGGCAGGTGCCACCATGCCTGGATTTCTTTTTTATTGTTGTAGAGGTGAGGTCTCACTATGTTGCCCAGTCTGGTCTTGAACTCCTGGTCTCAAGCAATCCTCCTGCCTCAGTTTCCCTAAGTGCTGAGATTATAGGCATGAGTCACTGTGCCTGGCTAGGGGTATGAATTTTATTCTTAGTTTTTGTCACATTTTCTTAGCTAAGAGATTGAAATCTGTGTTCTGACTCAATCAGATAATATTATTACAACTAAATATTACTGTGTTTCACCATTATTTTATTTTATTTTATTTTGAGTTGGAGTCTCACTCTTGTCTCCCAGGCTGCAGTGCAGCAGTATGCTCACGGCCACTGCAGCCTCCACCTGCTGGACTTAGACGATCCTTCTGCCTCAGCCTTCCAAGTAACTGGAACTACAGATGCACACCACCACGTCCGGCTAGTTTTTGTGACTTATTGTAGAGATGAGGTCTCACCAAGTTGCCCAGGCTGGTCTCGAACCTGCGGGATCAGATGTCTTCTCGCCTCAGCCTCCCAAAGTGCTGGGATTACAGGTTGAGCCACCACGCCTGGCCTGTTTCACCATTATTAAGATGATCATTCTAATATGAATGAGCTGTAAAGTTTTTTTGTTTTTTTTTTGAGTTGGAGTCTCACTATCGCCCAATCTGCAGCCTCGACCTGCTGGGCTCAGGAGATCCTTCCGCCTCAGCCTTCCAAGTAGCTGGAACTACAGGCGCACGCTACCACGCCCGGCTCATTTTTGATTTATTGTAGAGATGAGGTCTCGCCAAGTTGCCCAGGCGGGTCTCGAACCTGCGGACTCAGGCAATTCACTCACCTCAGTCTCCCAAGGCGTGGGATTACAGGCTGAGCCACCGAGCCCGGCTCTGTAAAGTTTTTTTAAAGGAGAGGAACGGTGGTTGAAACTGTTCCTTTAAGTACTTTCTTGTTATAGACTGGGTTTGAAATATCAGTGCTAATATTGCATTACAAGTTGTTTAGTGTGAATCAGCTCACCAAAACTGATAATGCTCTTCTTCAGGTTTAAATGCAAATTCTTGATCTCCACATTTAAGAAGAGTTAGAGATTTAACTTTCTCTTAGAATTTCACAGTTGGGTCTTAAGAACCAACCCTTGGACAAACTTCAGGCAGTTTTAGTGTTGGTGAATGGTGATTATTCACAAGTCTGCTTCATTATATCAGCTGTCCTTTCTTGAAAATGATGGAGATGTTCTCTGGACTGTACCTCAGAATGGAAAATTGAAGGAAAGAAATGGCTTAATACCATATTTTAAAAGGTATTTTAAAGTTTTCTTGGATGTATAAAAGAAAAGCAAAAGACAGAAAAAGGGAATAGAGGAGAAAGCTAAGAAGGTAAATATGGGCTGAGTGCGGTGGCTTAAGCCTGTAATCCCAGCACTTTGGGAGGCTGAGGAGGGAGGATTGTTCGAGACCAGTCTAGGCAACACAGTGAGACTTTGTCTCTATAAAAGTAAAGTAAGGCCAGGAGCGGTGACTTAAGCCTGTAATACCAGCACTTTGGTAGACTGAGGCAAGAGGATTGCCTGAGCCCATGGGTTCAAGACCAGCCTGGGCAACTTGGTGAGACTTTGTCTCTACAGTAAATCAAATAATTAGAAGCCAGGCTTGGTGGCTCAGCCTGTAATCCTGCGCCTTTGGGAGGCTGAGGTGAGTGGATTGCCTGAGCCCACAGATTCGAGACCCGCCTGGGCAGCAAGACCTCATCTCTACAGTAAATAAAAAAATCAGCCGGGCGTGGTAGCGCATGCCTGTAATTCTGGTTACTTGGAAGGCTGAGGCGGAAGGATTGCTGGAGCCCAGCAGGTCGAGGCTGCGGTGGCCAGGAGCGGCCACTGCATTCCAGTCTGGGTGACAGAGTGAGACTCCAACTCAAAAAAAAAAAAAAATATTAGCCACGCGTGGTGGCACACACCTGTAGTTCCAGTTACTTGGAAGACTGAGGTGAAGAATCACCTGAACCCAGTAGGTCGAGGCTGTGGTGGCCATGAATGTGCCACTGCACTCCAGCCTGGGCAACAGAATGAGACTTTGTCTCTAAATAATTAAACAAACAAACAAATAAATAAATAAAATAAAGATAAAATAAATTTAAAAAGAAGGTGCATATAAGTTTTTTTAAAAGATAGATTCTTTCTAAATACTCCTGGGCTCAAGTATTCCTCCTGGCACACCACTGTGTCCAGCTGACCAACTGTGAATTTTTAGGCCAAAATATTAGTGCATTGTAATAGTTGCTATTTGGAGTTATTGATGTTCCTGATCGGCCATCTGTTTTTTTTTTTTTTATAGCCCCATGGTTCTCTAATCAGCTGGAGAAAATTTTCATTGATCCAGACATACTATTTAAAAACAATATTTTCCAGGTAAACTTGTAAAATAACAGATTCTTTCATTTTTTGTTTTCTTTCATAGTTATTTATTTTTCTCAGATTGGGAGAGCCTTTCTGGGGAACCTAAACTTGAAAGGGCTTTCATGGATGGCAGCAACCGTAAAGACTTGGTAAAAACAAAGCTAGGATGGCCTGCTGGGATAACTCTGGATATGATCACTAAGCGTGTTTACTGGGTTGACTCTCGGTTTGACTACATTGAAACTGTAACTTATGATGGAATCCAAAGGTAAGAAATATTTTTTATAAGTTTTGGGAAAGGTACACCGTATGTAGGGAGAAGGACACCAAAGGACCTGATTTTAAAACATCGCTTTGTTGGTTGACATGATAGATTGAATGACCTTTGTATTGACATTTGCATGAAGTGACCTACTCTGAGTTAACATTTCTTGTGTTCCATACTAACACTCATTAAACATTATCTCCAACATTTGTTCTTTGATTTTTTTCCTCTTCATCTCTTTTCTCAGTCCCAGATAAAGCCTGTTCTTTTCATTCACTTCTGAGTCCATTTATTTCTCCAGGTCCTTTATGCTTTGTTTTTCAAGATCACTTTACCTTTTAGTTTTATCTGACTTTCCCTCAACAATGTATGTTTTATTATGTATTTGACATTATCCACCAGTAGTTAATTAGATTTTACTCTACTCACATATTTCAAATTTTAAGGAGAATTTTCTTGTGTTATTTTTACCTGATACACTTCAAAGATACAGCAATATTTGAAAGTTGAACAAGGCCTATGTTTTTCTTCACCTTGATAGTCTGACTAGAGCTAATTGTAAATTAAATTGTAAAACTATTTTAGATCTTCTCCTATTTTTTAAAATTTTCTATTTTGATACATGCGCAGGCTTGTTACATAGAAATATTGTGTGATGGTGAGGCTTAGGCTTCTTTTTATGTGTGTGTGTGTTGGAGTCTCACTCTGTTGCCCAGACTGGAGTGCAGTGGCCGCTCCCGGCCACCGCAGCCTCGACCTGCTGGGCTCCGGCGTTCCTTCCACCTCAGCCTTCCAAGTAGCCAGAATTACAGGCATGCACTACCACACCCGGCTGATTTTTTTGCTTTATTGTAGAGATGAGGTCTTGCTGCCCAGGTGGGTCTCGAACCCTTGAGCTCAGGCAATCCACTCACCTCAGCCTCCCAAAGGCGTGGAATTATAGCCTGAGCCGCCAAGCCTGACTGAGGCTTAGTCTTCTACTGAGCCTGTCACCCAGGGTAATTGAGTAAAACATGTTCTTCACATTTTGGTAAAAAATATATTCCTGGTGGATTCAGCAAATAGGCTGATATTTTAATTTTTCCAAATGACTTGATTTAATTTTTGTGTGTTTGTTTTTTGTTTTTTTCTTTTTGAGTTAGAGTCTCACTTTGTCGCCCAGACTGGAGTGCAGTGGCCGCTCCTGGCCACCGCAGCTTCGACCTGCTGAGCTCCAGTGATCCTTCCGCCTCAGCCTTTCAAGTGGCTGGAACTACAGGCGCGTGCTACCACACTCGGCTAATTTTTTGATTTATTGTAGAGATGAGGTTTCGCCAAGTTGCCCAGGCGGGTCTCGAACCTGCGGGCTCAGGCAATCCACTCACCTCAGCCTCCCAAAGGCACGGGATTACAGGCTGAGCCACCGAGCCCGGCTGATTTAATTTTTTTAATGAAATCATTATCACAGTTTTGCTTTTTCTTGTATCTCTGGTTTGTAAGGATGACATAACAGTTTGCCACTGGATTTTATATGCTTAGAACAAACTCTGTTTCATCAGGTGAAATGATTGAATATTAATACTGTGACCTCCTATAGCAGTGTTAATCACTTATATAATCACAGTATTATCACCTCCTAAACTGAATTCCATATTGCAAATAGAAATTAATTTTATGAAAAAAAATTAGTCAACCTGATAAATTGTATAAAACACTTAGGAAATTGCCTAATTTTTTTGTTTCATTGGGGTATTTTAGCATTATATTATATAGTCTCAATATTTTTATACTAAGGTTAAAGTAAGGCATGAAAGATGAAAATCAATGGAGTTTCAGAAAGATTTGAGTGGTTTGAAACATCAAAGAAATGTTAAAGCTGCAAGTACAGCTGAAATCATAAACTCTTTGCCTCTTGCTTTACCAGTAGGTGACATTCAGGGTTCTGGAATTTGCTAAGTGAAAAAACCATTCTCTAATCCTAATGTGCCATGTCATTATTGAGCGTTTCAAAGTGTATGCTAACTTGCTACCTTAGGTTTTTTGTTTTCTCCACTTTAGTGTATTTGCCAGCTTTAGTATCTTCAAGTCTTTCCTTAGAGCTCTATGGTACTTTTTAGTTTTCAGGAACTGCTAGGGTTTTTCTGTGCGGTCTTTCTATTATGCCAAAAGAAAGAAAATAAGAGTATCCCTTCTTGATCCATCATCTACCTCACTGTATTCATATGTCTGAGTCATCTTTATATAGCTGGTAGGTGTTGTTGATGTCTTCCCCTTGCTTAGTGCTTAGTGCCTTTTATTTTTGTTTTCTTCCTATTTAAGCAGCTCTGGGTCTCCATTACAAGTATGATCAATTGACAGTTTCATAAAGCAGATACATACAAGTGGTCATACTCCATTTTGCTCTCCTTATAGTGACATCAGAACAGATCTGGGTGTTTGCTATGGGTTGAACTCTACTACTTACTGTCCTGCCCCCTAATTGTTGAGAAATGGTAAATGATGCAATGAGAAGTAATTGTTGAAGGCATTTTTTTTTTAACCAGACTTTCTAATGCTTGTTACATTCGTTCAAAGTACTATTTCTTATCTTCTATATGTGGGGTAAACTTAATGAAATGAAGAGGAAATGAGAAACAGCAGTTTCAAAAAAAAAGGCCTCGAACAAGCTAGGATTGACTGGGACTAGAATTTAAGTTTCAAGGGTGGTATTTACCTTCGGTATTTAATTGAATGTACTACCTTTTTTTAAATTTTTATTTTTGAGTTGGAGTCTCACTTAGTCGCCCAGACTGGAGTGCCGTGGCCGCTCCCGGCCACCGTAGCCTCGACCTGCTGGGCTCCGGCGATCCTTCCACCTCAGCCTTCCGAGTAGCCGGAATTACAGGCAGGCGCTACCACGCCCGGCTGATTTTTTTGATTTATTGTAGAGTTGAGGTCTTGCTGCCCAGGCGGGTCTCGAACCCGCGGGCTCAGGCAATCCACTCACCTCAGCCTCCCAAAGGCGCGGGATTACAGGCTGAGCCACGGAGCCCGGCTTACACCTTTAATTATAAAGCAAAACCCCAATTTTATGATTACATATTTATCTTTTATAACAGGAAAACAGTAATTCATGGAGGGTCACTCGTTCCTCATCCCTTTGGAATAAGCTTGTTTGAAGGTCATGTGTTCTTTACGGATTGGACAAAGATGGCTGTGATGAAGGGAAACAAGTTCACAGAGAACAACCCAGAAGTGTACTACCAGTCTTCCCTGAGGCCCTATGGAGTGACTGTTTACCATTCTCTTAGACAGCCCTATGGTAAGCCTTAGAACAGTGGTAGCTATGCTTGGCTCAGAATGACAAATAATTTTGTTGTTTCCCCAAATCAATCAATCTGTGAAGGTAAAGATAATATTTTAAAGAATATGGCTCAGAAGATAATTTCAAAAGCAGAAATGAATTTTTTAGCGGTGGCAGCCTTGTATATAGTGTACAAGTGATCTTCCTGAGGTAATAACTTTGAGGATGGCTTTGGGAGTATAAGCTGGTTTGCGTTGCAGACATGTGGGGTTTTGAGATCAGATCCAGATTGGAATCCTAGATAAGTCACTTAGTTACTGAATAATCTTGGGCAAGTTGTCTAACCTTTTGGAGGCTTGCTTTCCTCTTCTGTAAAATTGAGAGAATGACACTTAACCTCTTAGAGCGATTGGTTGTTAAGTTGGATTACATGGAGTATAGCAGACATACTCTGACATAATTATTGAGGGGTAAAGAACCCTGTGATTATCTGGTTTCAGAGAATTATTTATTGCTACCCCCAGTTTAAGAGTGGGTGGGAGAGAAGCAGTGAAACTGGGAGGGCTAGTGCAGCCAGATGTGGGTGTATACAGTGGTAACCAGTAGCAATGTCTCCAACGAGTTGCTAATCCAATATTCTGTTTCACCAATAGCACTCAAAGTGACTTCACATGTCTTAGATAATCATACATTTCTAATTACCTGTCCGTGTTCTCCTCCAGCTAGAAATCCGTGTGAAGATAACAATGGGGGCTGTGAGCAAGTCTGTGTCCTCAGTCACAGGACGGATAATGATGGTTTGGGCTATCGTTGCAAGTGCACATTTGGCTTTGAGCTGGATACGGATGAGCACCACTGCATTGGTAAGAAATCTGTTTTGGACTATTTTGGCAGGCAGCATAGGTATATGTATGTACATCCCTTATGCAGACTAACTGCTGCCCTTGGCCAGGGCCAGCTCCCTGTCTAACTTCTTCATTGCAAATAAGCTTTCTGTAGCCCAAGGAGCCACTTCCTTGGTAGCACTGCTGTACTTCCACTATACATAGAGCTGTGTTTGAAGATGTAAATTTCTGTCCTCTGGGACATTCCTTTAATCTTATGTCTAGAGTTTTCTTCAGATCCCTTTCCACTTGTTTTCTGAAACCATTTTCTCCCATTAACTATGATCTTGAAATTCCATATGATTGAATTTTGAGCTCTTTTCTGTACTCTGTGTATCTTTTCCACTTTATATGTTAGCCTTAGCTTTGATGAAAAATACTGTACTTTTTAATCACTGTGACTTCTTCTGGGCTACTGCTTATGCCTTTTTGAGTTAATCCGTTGCCCAGGCTGGAGTGCCATGGCACACTCACGGCCACCGCAGCCTTGACCTGCTGGGCTCAGGCGATCCTTCTGCCTCAGTTTTCCCAGTAGCTGGAACTACAGGTGTGCGCTACCAAGGCTGGCTAATTTTTTGATTTGTTGTAGAGACGAGTTCTTACCAAGTTGTCCAGACTGGTCTGGAACCCTTGGGCTCAGGCAATGCTCTCACTTTGACCTCCCAAAGTACTGGTATTACAGGCTTGAACCACTGCGCCTGGCCCCCTCTTTGATTTTGTTTGTTTGTTTGTTTTTGAGTTCTAGTCTCACTCTGTTGCCCAGGCTGGAGTGCAGTGGCACGGTCATGGCCACCGCAGCCTCACCTGCTGGACTTAGGCAATTCTTCCACCCCAGCCTTCCAAGTAGTTGGAACTACAGGCACGCGTTACCACGCCTGGCTTATTTTTTAATTTATTGTGGAGATGAGGTCTCACCAAGTTTCCCAGGCTGGTCTGATTTTAAACATCACTCCATCTCACGTCTTTCCTTTATTCCTCCTCTCCCGTCCTTCTTTTACCCCTTTATTTCTTCCTATTTCTGGTTGCTGTTAATTCTTCTCTTCTCTTGATACCTCAAAAGTACTAAGATTCTTGGTGTAGATCTCTATACAAAAGTTAAACTAACTTGAGAATTTTGATGGAATTACTATGGATTTCAGTTAATACTATTTTTGGACCATTATTTTTATGTAAATTTAAGGTTAATATATATAAATTTTTTAGGAAGAAGTAAGATTCAAATACACCATCATAGTTGCTTATCTTTTTTTCTCCCATTATTTCCAACTATGTTTTCCATAAATTCATTTTTATGTTTATTTCAGAATAAGTGTGCATTATGTATATATAAGTGCTTTCTCTGGAATGTAAGGGAGGCGACGAGAACTATGCTGTGGCTGACTGTTCTGTGTCTCTTCCTACAGCTATTCGGAATTTCCTGATCTTTTCATCCCAATTAGCTATTCGTGGGATTCCATTCACCTTGTCAACCCAGGAGGACGTCATGGTTCCAGTGACTGGGAGTCCTTCTTTCTTTGTCGGGATTGATTTTGATGCCCAGAACAGCACTATCTTTTTTTCAGATATATCAAAATACATGATTTTTAAACAAAAGATCGATGGCACAGGTGAGAAAGCTGTGTGTGTGCGTGTGTGTGTGTGTGTGTGTGTGTGTGTGCGTGCGCGCACGCATATGCATATTTTGCCTGTTTTCAATAATAATACTAAAAATTTGTTCAGTGAAACTTTGTATCTATTTCCTAAGCAGAGTCTTTACTAAGTTGCCTAAATACTTTTAGATTGGGAAGACAAATCTATTGCTTTTTTTAAATGAATTAAGTTAAAACAAACATCTTTTCTTTGTTTTCAAAACACGTTGTCTTTGGAAGGTTAAGGCAGGAGGATTGCTTGAGCTCAGGAGTTGGAGGTGGCAGTGAGCTATGATTGCATTACTGCAATTCAACCTGAGGGACAGAGACCTTGTTTCTTAAAACAAAAAGGTATAAGTGTGAATGTATTTTAATAATGGCAAATATTAGCATAAAAGGAAAGTCAAGTGTATGAAAGCCATTAATAGATTAATTGACTAAAAACTTTTCAAGCAGCCAGATTGATCCAATGGGATGACCTCTCTTTAGGGATGCTGGACTACCCAAATGCCAATGGCTGGGCTTGGAATAATAATAATACTGGTCGACAATATAGCATAGCCATCAAGAGGGCCAACTTAGAAACTAGACTGCCTGGTTTTGAATTCTGGCTTCCTACGTTCCCTCGCTGTGTAACCTTAAGCAAATTACTGAATTTCTTTATGTTTCAGTTTCCTAATCTGTAAAATAGGAATAATGATGCAGATAATACATAATACATGGCTCATAAAAGGTTATTGAGAGAATTTTAGACTGGTGCATGTAAAGCACCTAGAATAATGGGTAAGAAATAGTAAATATTCAGTAAATATTAGCTATCATTGTAGCTATTGTCAATTAAAAATCATATTACCTTGCTCCCACTCTGCCCCCAACACAGACCTGCTCTCGGGGTAAAGAGAGCTTTCAGCTGTTTCTTCTATGGTTTGTCTCCATGTTTCTAAATGCTTTGTTTATACTACTGTTTCTTGATTTATCATTTTAGACAATCACTTCCTTGTTATAGATGAGCATCTTGCTCTCTTACATTCTTCTCCTCCAACTTCCCACTTTCCTCACCCCATTTTTCTTAAAAAGTTAGATTGTAGATTTTGGTGAAATTAATATTAGGTGTTTATATTATTATTATTTTATTTTTATTTTTTTGAGTCAGAGTCTCACTCTGCCACCCTGGTTGGAGTGCAGTGGCATGCTTAGGGCTGTCGCAGCCTCGACTTACTGGGCTGATGCAATCCTTTCACCTCAGCCTTGCAAGTAGCTGGAACTACAGGTGTGCGCTACCATGTCTGCCTAATTTTTTTTATTTATTGTAGAGATGATGTCTCACCAAGTTGCCCAGGCTGGTCTAGAACCCCTGGACTCAGTCAATTCTCTTGCCTCCACTTCCACCTAGTTTTTAGTCTTTCTAGTCAATACTTAATTTTATTTAGAGTATTTTCAATTTTGAAAAAGCTTTTTGTTCTCTATTCCTTTTTTCATAATAATCTGTGTTTTATAAATTTCATATCTGTTAGTATTTCTCTGAAGATATTCATTATATTACAAAATTTAATCTTGTTCTGTTTCCATTTTCTTTGGATTCCTTTTTCCTTTTGGTTTGTTTTCAGCTTCCTTTTTTGTGATGGAAACTTTCTCCAAATGCTATAACCCTTGTTTGGTTAGAGCAAGGTTGTGAAAGCCTGATCAGAAGGTCTGTGTGGTCGATGGGCCTCATCCATTTAGAGAACTCAGGTGGTGAGGCAGCTTTATATTTAGGGAGCTTCTCCCCAGGAACAGTATTCGTAAATCTTTCCTGGAGACAATCAGCTCCTTAGTAGATGCCTCCATTCTCCTTCTTGAGGTAGATGGCAATGATACTAGGAGCTGGTTCTGTGTTTTGAGAGCAGAGAAGAAAGTGAGCTGTTCTGTTCAGTATTCATTTTATTCATGTAATCCTTCTGTTTTCAGTTCTGTGGCTGTCTGAGTTCTCTGTTGTGCATTATACCTTGAGCCCATAGCCTTTCTTTTTCAGTTCTCCAAGAATAAAAATTTCTAGACTCTTAGAGGAGACGGGCTGAGGGGAGCAGTGTGACTCAGGATCTGGAAGGGCCTGAGTATCTGACTTGCTCCTTATACTGCCTTTTTTTTCTCCTTTTTTGACTTAGGATGGAGTGCAGTGGCATGATCACCTCTCACTGCAGCCTCGACCTCCTGGGCTCAGGATGCCTCCTGAGTAGCTGGGAGTATATTTGCGTGCCACCACTCCTGGCTAATTTTTTTGATTTTTTTGTAGAGATGAGATCTCGCTATGTTGCCTAGGCTGGTCTTGAACTCCTGGGCTCAAGCAATCCTTCCATCTCAACCTCCCAAAGTGTTGAGAATTACAGGCGTGAGCTCTCATGCCCAGCTAGCTTCTCTTTTTCTACGGACTTTTCCATTTGCTTAGATGTACTCAAGTCTCTCTCATCCTAAAAAAATGCAACCTACCCTCCACCACATGTTTCTCTCTAGTGACAGCCTTCTTTCTCCTTCATTTTGTGGACAAACTTCTTGCAAGATTGACCTGCACACTCTGTCCCCTCTTCTGTACTGCTCACTGATTACTTATCTCTTGGAACTCTGCCTTCCACATTACTGAAACCCCTCTCATCTCCATCACTGCCAATCTCTCTGCTAACCTAGATAATGCTTTTCAGTCCTTGTCTTTGACACTTTGGTCTTCTAAAAAAGACACACTCCTCAATTTCTTTTTCTTTTTTTTCTGCTCCTCTGAGCCTCAGTGTTTTTACTTATTCAATAGAAATGATAACATGCAGTTTATAGTTCTTTGCAAGAGTAAAACAGACATGAATTTATTTATTTATTTTATTACTTTATTTTTTGAGCAGGAGTCTCACTTGGTCGCCCAGGCTGGAGTGCCGAGGCATTCTCACAGCCAACGCAACCTCAACCTGCTGGTGATCCTTCCGCTTCAATCTTCCAAGTAGCTGGAACTACAGGCGCGTGCACCAAACCCAGCTAATTTTTTGATTTATTGTAGAGACGAGGTCTTACCAAGTTGCCCCAACTGATCTCAAACCCCTGGGCTCAGGCAGTCCTCTCGCCTCGACCTGCCAAAGTGCTGGCATTATAGGTGTGAGCCACCATTCCTGGCTTATTTATTTATTTTTAATTTTAAAGATGTGGGGTACAGTTCAGGGTTAGGTATACAGATGTTCATTATGCAGGTACTCTTGTGGATGAGGTGTGCCCCCTTGGCTCCCCAGCAGTTTCTCACTACCGCCAATCCCTTTCTTATAGTATTATGATAATTGTTTAAGGTCCACTTATGAGTGAGAACATATGGTACTCAGTTCTGTGATTCTGTGATAGATCACTCAGTATTATAGGCTCTAAGTCCATCCAGATTGCTATGAAGTTCATAATTTTGCCCTTATTTATGATTGCATAATATTCCATTGTGTATATACACCACATTTTTGTTTATCCAGTCCTCTTTTTATGGGCTGCATGGTTGGCTTCATGTTTTTTCTCCTTTGCCTATCCTATAAACAACTGTAACTCTGGTACTCAATATTGATCCTCTTCTTCTGAATAATTTCATGCCTCTTATGTCTTTAATTAGCATCTAGGTAGCAATTAAAAATCATCATGGGGAGACTTATAATAAGGCATTTACTAAGTGTTTTCCCTCCTAATCTGGGGACTGAGGGAAAGGTCAGGGAAGCTTTCCTGTAGGTGATTTAAAAAAAAAACAACAAAAAACCTCTGTCCAATTTCTCTTTCTGAGGTTTATAGTGCCAACTGCCTTATGGACACCTCCCCTGGTTATCCTACATTCACTTCAAAACCAGCATGTTTGAATGGACGCCTTCATCCTACTTCTCACAGGCCACTTGGTACACCCCCCCTCCACCTGGTGATCACCATGAACTTCTCCCTCTCCTTCAGCCTCTGTCATTAACCCATTAGCTTCCAACCATGCTCCTAGAACACGTGGTGTTTTCAGTTTCTGCCTTTCAGTCTCTGCACTCCTCCACTTGGCCAAACCTCTCTTAGGAGTCTGTGCTGTCATACCATCCTATGCATACCTCTGTCATAGAACCTATTACTCTTTAATTTCTGTCTCTTGAGCTAAGTGCCCCCTCCTCTCTCACCACCTCATTATACATTACTTGGAGGGCAGAGTCCACACTTCTTTCCATAGGTTTCTCTTCTCTTTGATTCAGTTCCTCATCTGTAAAATAGGGACAATAATAATGCTTGCTTGATTGAGTGGCTGTGAGGATGGATGAGTTCATGTAAAGTACTCCAGTTTCTGGCTCATAGTAAGTGGTCATTTAATTAATATAAGCTATAATTATTAATATTATCAACAATATTATGTCTTCTAAATATCTAGTAGGTTGTCTAGCATATAAGGGACTTTCTTTTCACAATTTGCTGAATAAACGAATGGAGAAAACACGGATTGTTTTTCCTACTGCAAAAGAAAGAATTGCAATTGTCTATTCTGATTTAGATTTTTTTTAGTGAAAAATAAAAAGAGGGTAAAAGGCATAAACATTTCATAAAGAGGAAAGTGGTCTTATTCTTCTGAACCGAGTTCTGACTTCTTTTCTGGTATTTCTGCTGGTCTTTTCCAAACTTGGCAACTTTGTGGCTGTGAAAAACTGTTGATGAGAGGGCTGGGCGGTGACACCTTGTACCTGGCGGTGTCAGCTTCTCAGAGTGCCTGCGGGTGGTAGTAGGTGAACTCAGGTATCTCTTCCTCAGATATTCTGTCCTGCGGTGAGAAATGTTTTCTGGAAGGTTGAACGAGGGAGTAATCCTGGGCCATACTACCCCTGGTTCTATTTATCAGTATCATATCTATTCTTTGAGATCCAAAGTTTGAGGAATGGATAGATTCTTGGTTTATCTCCTGCTGTTGCTCAATGGCTTATGTTTTCATTCATTCTTTCTTTCTTTTTAGGAATTCCCCATGTGTTATTGAAGTATGCTCTAACTCTGACACAAATTTTCAGTATGCGTTAGTAGGAAAAGATATGTTTTATAAAATATGCTTTGTTTAAACCACATGCATATTTTAATTTATAGGAAGAGAAATTCTTGCAGCTAACAGGGTGGAAAATGTTGAAAGCTTGGCTTTTGATTGGATCTCAAAGAATCTCTATTGGACAGACTCTCATTTCAAGAGTATAAGTGTCATGAAGCTAGCTGATAAATCAAGACGCACAATAGTTCATCATTTAAACAACCCACGATCAATCGTAGTTCATCCTACTGCTGGGTGAGTGTTCATGTATGTCTTTTACAGTCATTGATAAGTGATACTATAGGGATTTGGCAAGTTCAGCAAATATAAAGTTGAAATGTATAAATTAACCTGGCATGGTGGCTCATGGCCTGTAGTCGCAACTGCTTGAAAGGCTGAGATAGAAGGTTTGCCCAAGCCTAGGAGGTCAAGGCTGCAGTGGGCTTGAGTGTGCCACTGCACTCCAGCCTGGGCAACAGAGTGAGACACCAACTCAGAAATAATAATAATAATAATAATAATAATAATAATAATAATAATAGCTTGATTCCTCAGGGCATATATTGAGCACTTTACATATATACATTCATCTGATCCCAAAACTAGTTTATGAAGGAAGTGTATGTAATATCCAGTTTAGAGATAATAAATCAGTCTCCATGAAATAAAGCAACTTGGGAAGAACCCACAGCGATTAAGCAACAGGCAGTATTCAAATTCCAGACCTTTCCAGTAATCAAATTCCAGACCTTTTTTGTGCCTAAGAAAGCATGTTTGCTGCCTCTAGAGTGTCTGTTTTTTTAAATTTTCTCTTTGTAAAATAATATAAGAAACATATTTTAAAATGGAAGAAATTTAATTGCCCTATGGAGAGTTAAGCAGTTGATTTTTTAATGAATTTATCTTAACCCAAATCTTTGGCATTTGGTTTTGAAAACCTGTTAATTTCCTTTGCTAATGACACATTCACTTAAAATGACATAAAGTAGTTATATTTCAGAAAGTTACATTTTAGAAAAGACTAATTTTGATTCCTAGAGGTGGTATGAAAGAGAAGAATGTTCGCCCCACCCCCCAGATGTATCATTTTTCCATCCAGAATATTAAGCTCTATGAGTCAGATATTGTTTAAAATTTCATCCAGGACGAATTCATTTCCCACAAATTTATCACTTCTTTATGGAAGAATGACCAGAGAATGATCTAGGGGATCCTGGATACTTAATCTAGAGAAAGATTGCAATCTGCTTTCTTGCTCTTATTTATTATTATTTTTTCCAACAGCATGAAGTATTTAATATGAGGGCGACCCAAAAAACTCTGGAATTTACTTATAAAAATTGTATATTTGTTCTTTTATGTTTAAACTTCAGCCACCTTCAAAAGTACTCTCCATTTGATGCAGTACACTCATCAAGATGCTTTTTCAAAACAGTTTTTGAACTCAATTTTGATGCCTTTTAGTGCTTCTGCTGGTTTTTGTTTCACTTTTTCCATATCGGCAAAATGTTTCCCTCTGAGGACTTTTCTTTTTTTAATCCGGGGTGTCATTGGGTGAATAGGGAAGGTGGGGCATGGAGGATATGCCATTTTTGGTCAAAAGCTAATGAACACTTAGTGTGGGCAGGTGAGCAGGTGTGCTGGTAAATCATGAAATGGGCAAACATGGGAAAGAATCTCCCCCCACCACCCCACGCCAAAAAAATTCACTGAAACCAAACCCAGTCTCTCGCAATAAAACTAGCTGGTACACTGATACAAATGAGTTCCTAGAACATTTACCTAGCAGGGGAAGCCTGTACAAGGGGCCCACCTTCTGAAAGATAATTCTGGTTTTTTTGGGTGCCCCTCATATATAACCTAAATTGTATCTTTTTAAAGAATCTGTTTGGTGATCGTAGTTTTAGGTCCTAAAGTCTAAAGCAGCAGTTTTTTGCTTTGGATGCCAATTTTGGTGCAGTTTGTATTTTTGACTTTGGTTATATGTTGATAACTGAATTTTTACCTAAAAAATTAGATCAGTTATCCACCAAATTTGCTAAGCTCAATAACATATACAGAAAATGAAATTAATTACAGTCTCTGGAGAATCTTTGTGCTAAATCTCTCTAAGTCCTGTAGTTTGTCCCAGTATTAACATCCTTGATTAATTACCTCTTTTCTAGGTATATATTCTTCTCTGATTGGTTCCGTCCTGCTAAAATTATGAGAGCATGTAGTGATGGGTCTCACCTTTTGCCTATAATAAACACTACACTTGGATGGCCCAATGGCTTGGCCATCGATTGGAGGTAAGTAGAAATCATCCACAATTATTGAATTCCCACTTACAGCAGAACACATATGAAGTAGACTCATATAATATGATGGAGTGAGGAAACTGGTACTACTTGACCTCAGAAAGTTTTCAATTATTAATTGGTGATGGAAGAAGGATGTAGAATGTTATAAGAACACATGGTTGTCAAGAAATTGATAGTCTATCTAGAAATATAGGAAAAGGATTAGGGTAAATAAGCTTATAAACATGAAATGCTAAAGTAACTTATGGGAGAGAAAAAGGGAAAAGTGTATCTAATCTTTTATACATAGATTACTACCAGCATTTTTCACAGGGAGAAAAATAAAATTTCTAACTCAAAGATAGCAACATTTCAAGTTTTCTAAGACAATTGCAAGCCACTTCATGAAAAGTAGTTGTATCTTTCTGTACAAAACTGTTACATTTTTAATGAATATAACTAAATTTTTTAAAACTTTGTTTAATAGGTGTGTTAACTTAGCATACTTGAATGCCCTGTGTAAAGGATTTGCTCTACTAGTTTTTGGATAACAGATAACTGTTTTATTATTATTTTAGTGCTTCACGATTGTACTGGGTAGATGCCTTTTTTGATAAAATTGAGCACAGCACCTTTGATGGTTTAGATAGAAGAAGACTGGGCCACATAGAGCAGATGACACATCCATTTGGAATTACCATCTTTGGAGGTATGTTTTGAAGCAATAAAAATGTGTGTTGTTTTTATATTTTGCAAGTTACAATAGGAAACTCATCCTCATTTGACAGTCTCACAAATCTAGAAAAGTGGTTCATTTTAAAATAAAAAAATTAAGTCGTGCTATTATATGTAAGTTAAACATTTGGTTTTTGATGGAGTTTTTTACTTTTAAAGTGTGATTTTTGTTGTTGTTTTGGACACATTTAGATAATAATATTGACAAATTATATGGGTGTAGCACTTTGTAGATTACACATTATACTATTCAACATCCTGGGTATTCGGTTTTATAAATATCACATGAAGAAATAGTAAATTAATGCCTTCATCTTCAAGAATAAAATAGAACTGTTTATAGTAATCATTGCAGCATTTAATTGTTCTCTGGTGTTTGCAAGAATCTCATTTGAAATCCTTGTGGGAGAAAGATTACACACACTCATCAACAATGTATTCACTGAATGACTTTGAAACTTTTTAGTCCGAACGTTGGATAACTGACATCGTCTTTGTTATATAGAAATGTCAGGGGATGGAGTACGAAGAACAGTAAGACATAATTGTTTTTTAATCAGCCTTTCAAAATAATTTCATGCTACTAGTAAAGATTGCTGGGAAGCATGAATCCCGGGAAACCACAGTCACAATGATCACAGACAATGTTGGCCTGTCTTTCTCTCAGCTCCTCTCTCGAGTGTAGGCATGCTGTTGTGAATTAAGTTGCTGGGAATAAGAATGTAGCCTGGTACCATGAAACAGGTGGTTTGTTTAGTCTTGAAAACAGGGTCTCTGTAAATGGTTGGATAGCTTGTGCAGCAGCATAAAAGTGCCAGGCCAATAAGGTAAGGAAAGATGGAAATCTATTCTGGTTTTTTTTTGACAAACCATAATTAACCCTGGTGGAGGGCTCACACTTTGTTTAGGGCTACCAAAAGCCCTATGTATATGCCAGCTGTGTCCCTGGTTGAAACCTCCTACGTTGAATAATTAACATTGTGCTTTAAAAAACTGACTATAAATCAAAGACGTTCCTCACACACATGGAGTGTGGAATGAATATGAAGTATATTGCATAGTCTGTCCTGCTGTCTGTTTATCTTTGGAAGAGTGTGTGATATTTAAAAATAGTCTTAAAATGCTGTTGTTCTATTACTCCCTTTTCAATAGTGGTGTCAGACACACTATTTACTTTCACGCAGGAAGATCATAAGAATGTTAAATTTTCTCTGCTCTGTGCTGAAATGTTTTGGGACTGAGTAAGAATGTAGTTTCAATACCTTTTGGTTTCATCAGCATGAAAATAATTTGAATTCATACCCGTGGAAGCAATGCAATATTCCCAAAATAATAGTAGTAATAAGGATAACAGCAATAATAATTATCAGTTTCTTTCAACACTGCATTTCCATGTGTACTTCTTAGAGAAAGTTCTTTGATTATGCAACACCGTAGATGTTGCACCTTTTTACTGAAGGGGTAGATCTTATTGACTGTGCACCACATAGGAATGAAAGGGTTATTGAATTCTTATCTACTTAAGTATGTTAAGATACCTTTGTGAGTGGTGGAACCCAGAGATAAGATTTAGTGAATCCAATTAGTTAGTCACTGAGAAGATCACAGATAAGGAAAACTGGCCTAATGATAAAATTTGGGACATCTTGGTGGGTTGGTCAGTGTCTCAAGCCTGATTGCTTGAGCCCCAGGAGTTTGAGACCAGCCTGGGCAATACAGAAGGAAAAATAATTAGTGACATCTTGAGAATTTTCTGATTAATTAGGTTTTCTAGTTAAACTATTGTTAAAGAGAAAATCCACTTTGATTCAATTATTTCTAAGAATTGCTGGAATGTATATATTTACTTCCCTGCTTCAGACGTTACTAAAAAGTGAACATGATTGCATTTTTGTTGTTCAGAATCTCACTTCTCTCGCACCATGTTTTTTTTTTTTGAGTTGGAGTCTCACTCTGTCGCCCAGACTGGAGTGCAGTGGCC